AGTTCCGTTTTATTTCCCAGAGCCGAGCCAGAGTAAATTAGATTCTTTTCATGCGGACTGGGCACGTTCCATATGAACATCATTAAGCGAAATGGCTCATTTTTAGTTTCCTTATATCATTTTCGCTGCTAGATTGGTCGTGACTTAGTCGGGCGATGTTTTACGCGACTGATTAGTCGGTTGGTCACATTTAACGGCCAATCGTAGATTTGAAAACCGGCGAAGAAAAAATTGACGGGGAAAATCTGCGCGCAACAGCACCGATGTGTAACAATCGCTCAGATCCAATTTCGCTTAATGCGGAAACATTGGTGCTTGAGAAAAACCACACCCGAGATCATAAATCTTTGCACGTTGACGTTTATGGCTGTGAAAAATGGATTTCCCGGATATCAATTCTTTTGTTCTAAAAGTTGTATTTCGTGTCGGATTTTTTCCCGTCTTGGCAGATTGTTTCGGTTCCTATGCGGCGCACCAACAGATCGAGAGCAAACGCCGAAAGTAGACAATTACCATTCGCCGGTATTCACTATCGTTCAACGATGGTGCCAAAGTGAAAGAAGGCGCGAAAGACAAAAGAAAATAATTGGAAATAACGCGATGACACGGTCCAAAATGAATTTATTTCCTAGTCCGAAACACTTTCAATTTGCATATAAAGTAACGAAAATGCTAATGCGGGTTATTTGTAAGCGGAACTTGGCCCCCCTTACGAAAACTTTCCAGGTCATTAGCGAAATTGACCAGAAAGTGCGAAGGGGGCGGCTTTTAAGCGACGTCACTCAACTCATCCGCCTCTCAATGTCTTCCAAGGCCGGAAAAACAATCAAATTGGCTTAAAACTGTTAGAATAAGACTATAATCAAAATGCTTTTAATATTATCAATATAGGTTCAGCCATATATATTATGGACCACAGTGTACCACAACGCCATATTGCTTAGGCAGCATCATTTTTGTTTATCGCGAGAGCAACCTTTTTTTAGTTGTAGATAAGTTCTATATTGTTGAGACGGATTCATTTTTTACAAACTTCTTTTTG